CCAGATGGGCTACCGAAAACCCTTCCACACAGGATACATCGCAAAGAACCAAATTTTCCTTTTTGTGCCAGTTGATTTTCAAAGAGGATTTTTAACTTTGCTTATAAAGGTTGCAAGCCATTTATGCTTCTTGATATATTTAAATATGTTTTAGCTAAAAACAACTCATAAAATTAGTATCGGTCACAAATCATTGATCTGCCTTGATTTCAAGACATTTCCACATAATTTTCAACACTTGAGATAGCAAGTTGCCAAAAGAACTGAAATGGAAAGTTAAAAAAAAAAACTTAGCAAAGAAAACTCTATAATATAAAAAAGCTAAGAACTAAAAAATAAATATGAGTAGTCTGGCAAAGTGATTCAGAGGAAAATGTGAACATCGGTTGTAGACAGAAATCCATTTCCAACCCTATCATGCCATGTTAAGCCAGAAAGTACAAATCTCAAAAGTTTTATCATAGCAGGTTATTACAAAAAAGGTTTACTGTCTATTTTCCTGAAATTGTATCTTTGGAATGATTCCTTTTTTAAAGTACCATTTTTATAGATAGTGAAAAGTTTTGAAAGTGCAACCATACTTTTGCTTAGCCATCCTGAGGTTCTAAGTGACTAATAAACAGAACCATTCAGCTATGTTTTTGGAAAGATCAAAGAGAGCAAGGGAGAGGTCCCTAGACCATCCTCTCTTCAACACGGCTGTGGTGTGTGAGGTGTGGATACGGCCACTTGTGTTTCCTTCCTCTGCTCTGATTTATTGTCTCTCTTCACTAGTTTGAACCCCAATCTCTTTAGCAGAACAAACATTATATACAAAGGGGGGGGGGGGTGTTAGAATTCATGTTATTTTTTTCTTTAAGTGACAGCAAAGAAAATAAACAAAGCAGAGTCACCAGGGCCTCTGGGTTGAGTACCAGTACATCTGTAGCCCCTCCTATCGATCATGGACAATCCTGACACCTTCCCTGGTATAGAATGACAAGAATGTCCTATGCATCTCAGTGATGCTGGGGAAATAAAACACTCAGGGAGGCATTGGTACTTCCATTCATGATGCCTCCAGCTAACTCGGTACTGATACAAACACAGGGGAGGATTGCTTTAAATAAACTATGATAACAAATTAACACAAGTTTTCATTTTGTTAATTTCCAACTTTGTTTCTCTAAATGAAGGTCACTAGAGTCTTGAATATGAATTTCTAACATTCATAGAGGCATAGACCACTGCACCACTAGCAAACTTTGTTCATTTTAGACGTACTAATATTAGACACTGGAGATAAAAATGAGTGGAGGTTACTCAACCTTCAACAGTCTATAATCAATAGAATTAAGTTATTATGGAAAGTTGGGTTTTCCTTAAAGCTCAGGCTTAGTGAGTTAAGTGACCCAACTTTAATTTTCGTTGTCTTTTTGTGCTTGACAATTCTTTGCAACTACACACTTCCTTACCTTCAATAGATTGCTAAGCAAAATTTCACATTCCTCACTACCTGAACGTCATTGTTACGAACATAGTTTATTGCTTTCTGTGTTGAGACTAGCAGTTCTATTGATACGTGGGGTTTATGTGAACAGTGACTCCCATGTGAGCTCCAGACCTTGCATTAAAAAATACAATGAACTAAAAGTTTGACTTCAAGTCAGTTGCCTCTTTCACATAAAACGAGAATACAGGTTGTTTATGTTTACTGTGAAACCAGTCAGTAAATCAGAAACCAAAGCAACTTCTCCTAGGTAATTTTCTTATGTGCACACACACACACACACTCACCCCCACTCACCCCCACAAATTACACCCACTTCCATTTTCATTAATGGGCAGCACTGAAAATGTGATCTGCATTTTCTACACAAAGGACCCAGGGGTCCCCAGGTCCCCTCGGTCCCTTCAGCCATCTCTGTGGAAGGTTTGCCCAGGGTATGTGAAGAAAGGCATCTAAATCTTCTAGAAACACCAAAGCTAACACTGTGGAAGAAGAAGATGTCAAAAACTAACAGGCAAGGATTTCACTCCCTACAGACGTCTGTGGACAAGAACATTGTCTTTCTCAGTTGAACTTCAGTTTTGGAATCTATTGGTAGAGGTACATGAGAAATAGAGACTTTTCTAACCTCAAATAAGGGATCCTTAACTTCTATTTCTCAAACTATCTGAGGTCTAGAGCCAGTTTTACCCCCAACCTTTTACAGATTGACAATGGAGCAAAATATAATAGCAACACATTGTTAAGGAATGAAACAAAAAAAAGAGAGAGAAAATTCAAGTTCCATTCCTAAGAATTATTCAATAAGCATAAAATTTACTAATGACCAAGGATGAAAACATTTTAAATGCTAACTCTCCTTTTCTGTTCTTAGCTCACAGCAGACAAGTAACAGAAGCTGCAGATGGGCTCAGACCTGGGAACTACCACTGGTATCTCTGTACTAGGAACAGTAGTGCATTTGCCCCTTCTCATGTTAGGCTCACTTGTCTTCCAGAGAGAGATGCCCAGTGGACAATGGGACTTACCACAGTACCCTGTTTAGTTCCCTCAAAGCTCTGGAGGAGTCTATAATTGTATAACTTGCTTGGTTGTTTCTCTCTTGACGAGAATGAAAGTTCTCTGAGCAAACAGATCTTGTCTGCCTTGTGATGTCTTCTATTACTAGAGCCTTAGACTGTGAAACTCATTAAAGAAGTCTCTCCATCACTTTTTGTTCCTTTTATTTATCTCTTTACTAAATTGACATTCAGTATATGTAGAAATTTATTTCTTTTCCAAGGCAGCTTAAATATTTTGGAATCTGACACATAAGTAGCATCCCTTTCACAATAAATATTATCTGCAATAAAATAATTTTTGTTTTATAGCCATTAAATATATCAAAACCTTATAATTTAGGCTTTTTTTATACCAAAGTCAAAGCCAAATGTGAAAAGATTAATGAATCTTGGTCCACAAAACTCTAATTTGTTGTATAGTAAAAAAAAAAAAAAAAAAAACAGAAAGAGAAAGAGAAGAAAGAAGTGAACATGCTTATAATTTCAGCTACTTGAGAGGTGGAGGCAAGAGGATTAAAAGTTCTAGTCCAGTCCAAGCAAAGTTAGTGAGCCCCTATCTCAAAAAAACAAGATAGAAACAAAAGGGCTAAGGGCATAGCTCAAGTGGCAGAGTCCTTGCCTAGCAAGCATGAAGCCTTTGGTTTAATCTCCAGGACTGCAGGATGGAAGGATGGATGGATGGATGGGTGGATGAACAGATGGACAGATAGACAGACAGACAGGCAAGGTGATTTATGCCTTTAATCCCAGCTATTCAAGAAGTAAAGATTGGGAGAATCACAGTTTAAGGCAGCCCAGGTAAAAATGTTAACAAACATATCCAGGAGTGGTAGTGTGTGCTTGTGATTCCAGCTACATGAGAGGCATAGGTCTGAACACTAGAACCTATCTGAAAAATAACTAAAGCAAAAAGGATTGGGGGGCATGGATTGATTAAGTGGTAGAGTGCTTGCTAGCAAGCTGGAGACCCTGAGTTTAAACCCCCATACCACATAAATAAATAAATAAATAAATAAATAAATAAAGAGATAAACTGGAAATATATTTATAAAACAATATAAAGGGCTAAGAACATTAATATAATAATGTAATTATAATAACACCAGTGAAGAGAAGAAAGAAATCTTTATTCCCTCAGTTTTAAAAAATGCATATGAAAATAACCATAAAGTCTTGCACCTACCAAATTGACAGTTCTTTCAAAGATATTATCCAATGTGTATATTCTTATCACACAGTCCTTCATTATGCAAATATATAAGAAATCCTTAAATAAGTATAAAACAGTTTACCTAGAAGTTCCACACCTAAACTTATCCAAATGAAATAAAGGAGTAGATAAGATATGCATAGCATTGCTCTAGATGTTCAATTCACAGGGATTAAATACATCTGTGAACACTGTGCAGCCATTAAAATGATGCTATAAAAAAGAATGTGCTGACATGAAAAGCCATTTATAATTTATTTGTTACTGAAAACAGAACACTGCAAGACAATATTGTCCCCTAGGAGAATATTTAACAGAATGGTAAGAAATGTAATTATTTTTGCTTTTCTGTATTTTCTAATTTATCTGCAACAAATATTAATGTAAGAAAGAGTATGATAAATATAAAAAGATGAAAACTATAAGAAGGAGCCCTCCAATAAAAAAGTAGCAAAAAAATTTAATTCAACTACAACTAAGCATTATTAGAAAACAAATATTGTTTGGTAAACTGTTTTGTAGTAGAGACAAGATATTAGAAGAATGTTTAAATTGTGTGAGACCTAATTCTCAAGCACTTTACACACACATTTGCATGGTAACAATCTGCTAATTACAAATAATGTGCATATTCTTTAAAAAGTTGTGACAATGTCAACTGTCAGCTATCAGTTTTGTCTAAAATATCAAACATAGAACCCAGGGCCTGGGTGTTGGAATGGATCTTCAGATCTTGAAGGTCCATTGTGTAGCTAGCTATAAATTTGATCTTTGTAAGTCGATTTGGTCTTTGGTAGATTATGAAGTCAACAAACAGCACACACTGCATTTCTAAAGTGGTGATTGCTGTCCCTAAGCCCCACCCCCATCATGAAAATGAAGAAACTAGAGCCCTCTTAGGAGAATTGATTACTGACACCAAATGCAGGATCTTCTATTATATACCACACCATATCCTCTGACATGGTTGACTATGTTTTGCTTTTCATTCTCTTTTTCTAATTGATAGAAGACACACAAGCAGCAAACTTCAGCTTCACAAAACATTTTAGAGTTTTTGGAAAAGAACCTTATAGATCATTCAAACTCCTTGACATAATAAATATGGACACTTAGGCCCAGAGAGCAAGCAAGTAAAGAGGTGAACTAGACATGGGTGTCCTGCCTCTAAGCTCACCATCTACTATCCAAGGGAACATGAGGTTTACTTTGAAAGCAAACTAAAAGGTTGTATACAGACCTTGCATCTGGTAGCTGTAGGGTGCCTGTCCAGGCTGAGGGGTACCAAAGCTCGTGCCATAGCTGAGAAATCCCGTCTGTCCAGGTGACTGAGACTGTGACAATCCACCTTCCGTCTTGATGCCTGCCCACAATGCACCTAAATCAGTTAGTGACAGTTTATCTGTCTGTTCATTTTCAGAAGCTGGCAAAAATACAAAAATGCACATTTGCACAACTGTTTAGTCACAAATGCTTTACCATCTAATCTGAGTCGTAAAGGGTCTACATGCTTCCAGAAGCAATGCTAGGAATCTCTGTATCGCTATCCTTATCTCAACTAGCAAAAATGCTATGTCATTCTTATTATTGCTTATGTCTTCTCTTCAACAAAATTGGATAAAAGGCAACACAGGTTCTGCCTGCAAGCAAGGGGGGTGGTGGGGAGAGGGATGGGGTAGGGGGTAGGGAAGAGAAATGACCCAAACAATGTATACACATATGAATAAATGAATAAAGAAAAAAATGAAATAATAAAAAAGAAATACCAAAGAGTCCAACTTCAATTTAAAAATAATCTAGAATCACACAGTGGTTCTCTCTCATTTTCCTGCAACCAACTTTCTATATGGCATGCCTCCAGAGAGTTCATTTCTATACTTCGTTTTTTTGTTTTGTTTTTCAAGAGTTGGTCACTTCTTTTACAATCAAGAAATAGTCATAATTAATGTTAAAGTACTCCAAAGCTACCAAGTTGAATCAAAATCTTTTTCTCCTGAAAAGGGATTCATTAGAGCTTCTAGCCTCACAGTGTTTTTTTCTTTTTTCCCTTACTTTACTACCACAGAGTTGATACCAGTGCACATGTGGCACTGAAGTTAGAGGATGTTACAAGGGGAGAAACCCCTCTTGAGTATGTAGATCCTACCAGAAAGCAAGCACAAAGGAAGCAGAATATCAAAGAACAGAATATCCTAAGAACAGCACAGTGATTAATAAACAACAGAGTTGATGGAGGTGAAGATTTGGGAGGATCGCAGTTTGAGGGTAGCCTGGGCAAAAAGTTAGTGAGATCTTCTCCCCCAGTCTCAACAAATAAATCAAGCATTGTGGCTCACATTCTAATCCCAGCTACCTGGGAGGTATAGGTAGGAGGATCACAGTCCGAGGCTGACTTTGGGGCCAAAAGTATAAGACCCTATCTGAAATATAACTAAAAAGCAAAAATGGGCTGGGGTAGGGACCTGGTTTAAGTGGTACAGCACCCGCCTAGCAAGTGTGAGGCCCTGAGTTCAAACCCCAGTACCACCAAAAAAAAAAAAAAAAAAAAGAAAAACAAACTGACCAGCAGCAACCTTTTTGTCTCTTTTGTTTCATATATTCAAATGCAATTATTTTAAATGTAAACTAAGGTACACTTTGTTTTTATATAATTACATAAAAACAAATTTATGTTTAATGTGGTCATATAAAAATTATGTATTTGTGGTTCCCAAATACCTCCCAAAGCACCTGGCTGGCATCCTAATTTCAGGACTTGGGCTTGGCAGCACTGAGGTAAGGCTCCGCTCTGAATTCTAATTAAAGACAGTCATGGAAATGAACAACTATCCTTAATTCCCACAGAGGGCGGAGAGCAACATTCCTGCCAAGAGAATTCACATTTTTGAGTAATTTTGGTTTGCACTTAAGATAAATGATATCTTTAGAATCTAGAATACACAGTAGTCTTACTGTTTATTTCCATTTTAGGGAATTTTCATCAGTAGAGTGAAGTTAGGTAATTGTGCTAAGGCAGTGGAAGAATGTGGCTCTTGGCTGAGAGAGACCATCTCTGAAAACTTCATAATGACCTTAACATTTAAGGCCTAGCATAACCTTAACATTTAAAAACATAATTTTTCCCTGTGTAGACAATCCTAAACCAATCAATAACCTGTACCTATAAATGACCTGGAAACACACCTGCCCCAGAAGGAAAGTCCCTTCCTTTCACCACTAGGGACTTTCTCCCTTCTCTGTTTGAGGTTATCCCCATCTGCTTCCAACCTTCACCTGTACCATCTGCTTTTAGCCTGGAGGTTTTAAAATGAACATGTTTGAAATAAGAACAGGTACCGAAAAGGGGGAAAAGGTAGAAAACACTCACAGCCACACCTATCTCATAACTTCTACCTATAAAGCAGCAAACTTGTTTCCTTGGTAGACTCCAAACAGAAGAAGCAGAGAACAGAATGCATTCTTTTCCCCATTTATCTATCAGTCTCATTAGGAAAAGACATACTTGCCCTTTTGTTTTTTTACAAGTCTCTATAAAACTTCAGGGGACACAAATCTTTGGAGAAAGTCTTTTAAGATTATTTGGAATTTCACTATCAGACAGCAACAGAGAAACCATTAACTGTGTGTTCTGCCTTCAGGAACAAGCCAAGAGGGAGAATGCTGGCATATTTTTCAAGAAAGAGAGCCTCTCTGTCAGAAGCATGCAGGGCATCTCTGTTTACTCAAGACTCAGAAACAGAAAAAAGGGGGTGATTAAGAAAATGCTAAGGACTGAGAATTATTCCGAGATTTGTAACCCTGGGAAGCTCTGGGATCAAAGCCCTTTCCACTGAGCCTTCCTCTCCTCATCTCCCCTTCCTGATCACATGAAAACCTCTTCCTCACTCTGCCAGTTTTGATTCTTTTCTCATCTCACACTCTGTTCATCTCAGATCCTGGAGCCAGGATCTCAGACAATAAAGACCATTTGTTAATGGCTTAGAACTGAGTCTGTACCCCACAACTCAGGCCCTACCACAACTGAATGGGAAGAAGAAAGTAGAGAGAGTGTGACATATGAGGCTACAAGCTAACACTGTGACAGGTACAGCTGTCCACAGCAGCACTGGTAGGCAACAGGACTTTATTATTGCATGGACGGAAAATTCCATGTGCACGTCAAATGATTATCTTATAAGTAAATGAGCACATAAACTGGAGCCTACCTTGACTCATATTATAGAGTAAAAGCTGCACAATTCAAACCATAGATCCTTTTCCTGCTTTTATCCCAAGAGTAGTTTTAAAGGCAATTACAGATAAGTTTGATCCATATCTGATATTATTATGAGAAACTTAATAAAAGTCATGGAAATGAAATATAATTTTAGAAAGTTCATTTTAAAGCTGTTTGTAAAGTCAGCTTCAAAATTACCTAGTAGATAACATTTAGTTCTGACAGTACTGAAATACACATAATTTAGACTTTTATTTCTATATATTTTATAAGAAATGTACACAAGGCCAAATTTCCTTGAGGTAAAGACAGAGAACTAAAGGAAATAAAGTAATTTAGCTTCTAATTAATGAAATATTTTAAAAGAGCATTAATTCTTTCAATATATTGAAGAGTATTACAAAAGAATACCAGAAGAAGCACAATAAAATATTGATCGAAAACATTTATAATATTAAACAGAAAAATAGTTATTCTATCAGTCCGTTCCTTCAAACATTCATGTTCTTTTTTAATCACTAATTTTATGTTTTCTTAATAACATGCCAATAATTCATATACTTATTTTCAGTTCAATTTGCTTAAAATTATCATTGCAACTCAATTGAAGAAAATGTATTTTGAAATTTGAAGACTTTTTTAAAATTGCACTTGGGAATTTGGCTGGATTTATTTTTAATTTACAGGTATTGACCCTGTAACAATTGAGTTAAATTACACTAAGATAAAGATAATCTCCAGGTGAGAAGAAACAAATGGCTTTGTAAGCTCTGATTGTTTCCTGATTTGTCTCTTCAAAGTGCAGTCCGGGAGGTGATATATAGATCACTTTTCCTCATGGTTGATAAAACTGAAATTTGATATTCCAACCACCCCCAAGTTTAGGGCAGGAGTTTGTTGAATTCCATGTATACTTCCCTAATCATAGCTAAGTATCTGATAAATAGGAAATGGATCTTTACCCCAAAAGACTTCATTCACAGAAGTTTTATCACAAATATGCACAAAAAATACTTTGGATTCCAGAGCCAAGTACTCAGATGGCAAATTCAGAGTTGAGATATAAGTAGAGAAAAAGGAGAGTGAGAGGTATATGACCTACACAACCTGTTCACCACCCCTGACCTCAAGACAAGAGTTCACCATTCTTATACTAAAAAGCAATCATATTAGGAATCTAGACACAAAAGGTGACAACACTGCCTAAAGTGGCCCAAGATTCACAATCTTTAAGTACCACTAAAAAATACATGTAAACCCACTAAAACACGCCAGGACAACCATGGCGGGATTACTCACCATAGGAGGAAATTCCGTATGGCTGTCCAGGCTGAGGGTACGTGGCATATGCTGTGGCTTGTTGCATTCCTGTGGTAAACTGGGTTTGCCCATATGTAGCCATAGTTTGTGATGAGGGGGCAGGAAGAATATGTGGGTATGGCCTGCTATTCGTCAGAAATGACAGAAAATAGAAAGCACATGCATTAGATGGAAACATGCAATATAACCAATTAACAGACACATCACAAAGTCCAGTTAAACAGTGTATCTTAAACTTTCAAATATCATAGACAAAGCACTGAAATACTTCAGTGTCTCTACTAGCTGATATTCAAAGGAAATTTGCATGAGTAGACTTGAGCCTCTCTAAAATGCACTTTCATCTAAATTAAGAAGTCCCCAGTGCTGCCAAAAGATTAATTAATTAATTAAGATGTAACATGTGGGCACAGACATGAGTTGAAATAAGGTAAAAGTCTACTCAGAAACGTTATTTATTGATTAAGAGAAGACGTATCTTACTTGGAAGGATAAATCTGTGGTGGAGAGAATTGGTGAGCTGGTCTTGGACTGAAGCTGCTGTTCCCGATTGCTGAGGAAACAAAACAAAACAGTGTGTAATACTCCAAGAAAAACAATAAATATGTAGAAACAGTGGTATATTCTGAACTATGGCTTTGCCATATGAAATTTCAGATATTTGACCTTTGTGACCTATAGCAACAACAATTTCATATGGTTCAACCCACCAGAAAGTTGAACTACAGAAAGGAATTCACAGGACCTGACTGAGTCTCTCTCATTTTAAATGAACTCTTCGACTATATAGTCACAATCTGAAATACCTGTCAGCATGCTGTGATGGTTTTTACAGTGCCAGTGCTGTAGGAGTCCAAGGAGTCCTGGCTCCTGTCTGGAAAACTGGGCTGAAAGGGGTGGAATGAGGCTGAATTGCAGGGTTGGGCAGCCCTGTGAAAGGTCATCTGGCCTATTGTCTGTGCTCAGCGGGAACAAGCCAAGCCCTATTACCAAGAAACATGGTCTAATCTTCTCTCTGGTGAGTACAAACAGGATAGATCCTCATTTGCCTGCCTTGATTTAGCAAGGTGTTTTAGTAAAAATGCATTCCTATAACTATCTTAAATTACTCAAGTTGCAAGGTAGGCATGTTGTTTCTTGTGTTGATCTGGGTTTCTTTGCCTTTTACTTATATGTGTTAAACTTCAATGTTCAAGTAAAAAGCTTTTTTTTTTTTACTTAAAGAGGTATTTAAGCATTCAAGCAGAACTTAATTTCTTTTAATCAGATTTACTTGATTCAATATGTTTCAGAAGTGTATAAACTCCTATTAAATGTTCTTTCACTCTCTGAACTAAAGAAGCAAAAATCCATTTTAACTTATATAAGGCCTAAAAGTGGTACCTCTCCGGCTTTTCTTAGAAATAATGACCATCTACCCACATAGATTGTCTATAATCTATATTTGTGTTCAGATGTGTATATGTGTGTATAACTATGTACACATATTTATCCAGGATAATATGTCTATTTTCTTCTTCTGCTAATAATCCCTATCTTTAGAGGCTCTATCGTTTAACAGTATTCTTCATTAAAACCCTTCCATGCAAAGTCTTACACGCTTTTCTTGTCACATCAATGTACATATACTTCTCATATTTCATTTTCCAGTTTGGGTTTGGGAAGACAAATGGCAGAGTTGGACTAGAATCTTAAAATCTATGAACAAATCTTGAGTGAAACAAACAAGGCCTAACCCAGGGGCAATAGAGCAAATATTGATTAGTCCCACTCATGCAAACTGCCAGGCTTCCACTATTCAGAAGCCAGTGTAATACAGATGGACAGTGCCTATACTGACAAATCGGCTGGTGTCCCCCATCTTTTGGAAGATATGGAGTTGCTACTGGGTTCCAGGCACCATGCAAGATGCTGCAGACACAGACATGTAAAGACAAGTTCTGTCCTCCTCAAGTGCAAAGACTGACCAGTGAACAGCTGTGGGAGGACTCATTAAATATTGCAGTTTATGTAATGGTAGGGTTAGTGAGAGAACACTTGGACTACCTCATGCCAGGCCACCTGTGAATGTAGCCTCTTCTGTGCCATTTTTATAAGTCTGAAAAGAGGCCAAGGACAAAATGGATTTATCCAGTGGGTTGTCAGAGAGGCAATCGTTTCCCTGGATAATCATAGTTTAAAAATAATTGTTTAAAAAGTAAATAACACAATGTCACCTGATGACGGAAGTCACAGAAATCCCTTTATTCTTTTCTAGCCCTATACCTGTTTTTCAACTTGTGGATTGTGACTCATGAAAAGTTCACAGACTCAATAGGTTTCACCAAGCAATTTTTTTTTTTTAAAAGAAAACAATAGAAGATATTAGGGTTGTTTATTGCACAGGGTAAGGTAGTTCTGTGAAGTTCTGGCCTGTCAGACTTTCCCTGAGTGCTGTGCGCCCTCTGCAAAATGATGGTAACAATGCTACTCATACATCATAGGATTGTTGTAGACTCAATGAGATAATCAACAAAGTGATTAAGAAAATGCTGTATTAATGTTTATTCTTAGTTTTCCACTGTCTTTGTCCCCAAAGTTTGCCCTTCCTTCTATATTGTCACTTGTATCCAATAAACAACATTACCATCTGCCCTGCAAAATGCTAACAGGTAGGATTCTTTACCTCCATTTTATGTATAAAGAACTCAGGGCTCATAAATGTAACACATTCAAGGAAATCATTGGGAAAGTCAGTATTTGAATACAGATCCTACCATGGTGGTCCCAAAGTGTTCCACCAAAACATACTACTCTCTGACTTCCTACATAGAAACCAGAAACTTCATAATCATCCTATATCTTCTGTTTCATAACTTGCAAGTCATTCATCAGTCCCAAATGCAGGAATGGCCCAGTGATTGATTGCCTATATGTTCCATCCTTCCTCTCATGACTCCATTCCTGTCAGGCCCTTATCATGCCTCACCTGAACAACTGCAGCAGTCATGTGGCTACTTTCCCTGTGTTCCACTAAGGGATGGCCATGCCATCCATCACCCTCTGCCCTCATTCCTGATACCTCAGTCATCCTCCTTAAGTGAGACCTCTTCACATTCATTCTGCAACTCAGGATCTTTTGACTGCTCATGGTATCCCTAGGATAAATTCATCAGCAGAGTATACAGAGAGTTTAGTACTTTGCAACCTCAGACTACTGTAAATGCCATTCCTTCTTGTATTTGTTGTCTTGTTCATTCTTCACTCTAGGCCCTTCTGCCTTATAATGTTCTTCTTTCCTGTGACTGACAAGCCCTCTACCATGAAGACAAAAACATCACTTTCTCTTTAGCATAATGTTTTTCTTCCCAGCACTTTCTTGGAATGTTGCAAATACCAGCAATTTAGCACTCACTACATTGCATTACAGTTAGTGTATTTAGTGTAAAGTTATTAGTTAATGGCCTATAACGCTTTTGGAAATAGTAATCCAGAAATTCAGATAAATTTTAATTTCCTGGGACCAGAATAACAAAAAGCAAAGGGAATGCCTCCAGATCATCTATTAAGGTAAATAAAAGTCATCTTGCCCATTCATAGACTCCAAATTACACATTCCACATCACCTTGGGAACATGTGGACAGCCAATGCCTCCCTACCTGTTTTAGCACATGTTTCCAATTATTTCATTCTTTCTCCTCCTCCTCACATATAATTTAAAGAAGCTACCCAAATCTTGCCGTGTGGAGAGGAGAACACAATGTGAATAGTAATCACGAGCCTGAGAATCCACTGGAAAGATCAGCAGAAGTCTCAAAATCACTTTATCTTTATTCATTCCTCCCTTGGGCCACTGCCTCATAAGTCAACATTTCTTAACCAGACAACCAGGGCAAAAGCTTGGAAGTAAGTTTTGACTCTTCTCTTTCCCTCATACTCACATACCCATTCAGCATTAGAGCAGTCGGCTCTCCCTTCACAATATACCTTAAATCTTACAGCTTCCCACTTCTTCTTGTCCATCACTCTGTTCCAGTTCCCACACTGCAGCAACCAGGGAACATACCTTTCATGTCTCCACTACAGAGGATATAAGAGAAAAAGGGCCCAGCAGCTAAGCTCTAAAATCCATCTATACAGGGATGCTTGGATGGGCTTCTCCAGGCCAGTGTTGGAGACAGGAAGGCAGGCTTGTGCTAAAAGACCTGTGAGTCCTCTGATGGCTTTACACAAATGCATTATATGGCAAGGTCCATTCCAACCTAACTAACCCTTCCTGCCCTTTCTCTATCTTCTACTCCTCTCCCCTAAAAAATCATGGTACATTTAAGCCTGCTTTAGTGGCTCTTCTAGAAAGACATGAGCTAACAGCCATCTTTCTTCTGCACAACAGAAACAAACCCTGCTTCTACTGTTCTCCCATAAAGCCCTTAGCATGCAACAAACAGTCATTCTCTTAAAAACACAAACTAGAACATGCCACAACTCACAGTGCCTTCAAATCTAAGCCCTCTGTTGTCCTTAACGCAAACTTCTTCTTTCACCTCACCAAGATCTCTGCTCAAATGCCCCATAGTCAGTGGCCTCTCCTCTAAAACTGAAAAACCTACTCTTCTACTGTATTCGTTGATCAGCCTTCATTTTCTTCATTGATCTGCAAAGTTGTCATTTTATGACCAATTGAAAATTAAGCCACATTTGTCACCTGTGATTTTTTATCCTCCAGAAGCATTTTTGTTTCTATTTCCCATTTTCAATGACCACCAGACACCAACCTTGTATGACCAATATTATTAATTGACATTTTATTTGACAACTTAATAATAAACTTAGGCTTTGTGGAAATGGCAGCAGCATCATGTGAAGATATTACAAGCATGCTATTTTCCAACTCCTATGGTTCTTAAAATTCAAATCATTAAAAAACAGCTTTTCACTGGTAAAGAATGAGCAAACCATCAATATGTTTTTAAAAATATGATAAACAACCTTGTACTTTTCAATTTAGATACAGTCTCTCCAAACCAGGACACCTGAGGGGCTTCCTGGAGCACCATGGGCCTCATCACCTCCTTAGTGCTTTTGGATTTTAGGGCTCCTTGAAACACAGAGGTGGAGTTACTACCACCACTATCAGAGTGGCTCCATGTCTTCTTTATTTATTTTCGAAAGACACCAGGAATACTTGGAAATAAACATTTTTAAGTGCATATGAATTTTTAAGCCATTATTGAAAAGGAAGTAGGAATGGTGACCACAGAGATAAAGGTTTGGAATTAAAGGTTTGGAGACTTCGTTCTTTTATAAACTGAAAACCCTATTCACAGCCATTCTAAGGTGACTTGAATTTTTTTACGTTTATTCATTAGGAGGGAGGGAGGACTGGAGGGAGGGAGGAAAAGAGGGAGGGAGGTAGGGAAGGAAGGAAGGAAGGAAGGAAGGAAGGAAGGAAGGAAGGAAGACACTGAAAAATAACTTAAAAAGTAGTGAGACAAAGGCTAAGGAAAGGAAGTACCAACAACTACAGAAGCACGTGGGGGAGGATTTTGAGATTAAGGAACATCCTCTTTTTCCAGAGTTTTCATTCTTTTACTACCATTCTCTAATGGCATAAAAAAGTTCAGGACTGCTGACATCCTTATCTCCTCTCTGGTTGTTAGCCCCTATCTTCTCTTTCTATCCTGGAAACATGAGTAAGTACTTTAAAACCACTTTTTTAAGGATAGTCTCAAATTGCTTACCTCCACTTTCTCCCACAACTGGATCAACCCAAATGTTATTTTAAAAATGTAAATTATAAATTATTATATAGTATATATATGTACAGAAGATTGTATATAATACATATTTTTAGTATATACACTGTAAAGAAGCTCTTTAGGAAAATGATTAAATAAAAAATAATAAAATTTAAATTTTATCCCACCATTCAGAGGGTCACCATTGATTTCCATACCCATACACACAGCAGGTATCTATATACACAAATGTCTTTCTTTGAAGACAAAACTGTGATTATACTGAGCATATTATTTTGGGTAACCTGATTTTTCATTTAATATAGTTAATATTTTCTCATGTTATTAGGTTTTTCAAATAAATATTTAATAACTTTACATATCTGTCATAGCGCTTGAAATGTTTTTTTGATGTTTTAGCAAGTGGTTATTTTAGTATGACAGGATAAAGTAGGGAGAAATGGGAAGAAAAAAGGGAGAAATGTTTTCTGTTCCCCATGCAACAGATGAGATTAAAGACTCCACATCTTTAAAATTCTTCAATTCCAGTTCAATGCTCTCCCTCCTTCCCTAATCACTTCTGTTTTCATTTGAACCTCTGCACATCTTACATAAATTTATTTACTTTCCTTGGGTTCTGTCTCAACTCTAGTACAGCCCACTAATTTTACTCCTGTATACTTTCAAAATTTCTATTCCAAACTTTCCTGAGTGCCAGTCACTAATATATATGACATCTTCAAGTATGTGATACCTCTTATTCAACATGTCTAGCACTAAGGTCACCATCTTTCTTTGTTAATCTACTCTTCGTATATGCCCTAGCTCTTAATTTCTCTCTCCTCACTCACCCTCCATGCCAGCTGGTCTCTGATGACTATAAATTTTACTCTATAAATACGTCGAATCCCTCACCTTCTCACACCCATTGCCAGCACTTTGCCTCAGGTCTTTAATATTTCTCAACAAAATTAATACACAAAATCTCTAACTGATCTCTCTACTTCAGTTCACTTGCTTGTAACCATACTACCACAACAGTCATGATTCTGGATTTTGGCTATAAATATGCAACCTTTTTACCTTTGATGCCTGTGCTTCGCACATAGGATAAAACAAAGTCCATGCAGTACATGCAAGCCTACCTCCCTCTGCAGTCTGTCCTAGCTGTTTGTACACAAGGGAATGCTGAACCACTAACAGTTCCCTCAAGTTTGATGCCCTCTGTGCTGTGGTCCTCTCCCATCTGACCAGTGTTTCAATCCCTAGTTCTAAATATGTTTTTTTCCCCCACTCATTTTTAACAATTGAATGCAGGCATTTATTCTAAGACATCTTCCCTGACCAGTCCATTCCAACCTGGTCATTGCTGGGTGCTTCCCTGTGTGTTCTAGGCTCTCTTGTCTTCTCTCTGGCATCATCAAACTCTACTGTAATTGCCTACTTCATCTATGAATTCTTAATTGCACCAAGCACATTGTCTGGCATAAGTAATGTTTTATGAAAGAACAAATATATAATATACTTTATTATTTTCTTATTGCTTCTACTTGTTATAATATAAAAATTGTACATTTACACTTAATTTTATGTCTAAATATAATACCTTTTAGCTGTGGCATCTGTTAAATACGTGATTCTAAGAGCTATATTATCCGTCACAGATTTATGAAAGACAGCACTTCTGATTGACATGCTCATAAATACAGTAGGTAAGATGGGAAGAGTTAAAAATTTAAAGTGTTATCTCTGATAGAAACAATTTTAAAATTAAATAGTGCAATCTGGGAAACATAGCAAACATATAATTAGGTTCTCATAGTGAGTTCATCGTCTTGTCAATGATTTCATTATGACAGGCAGAAAACCTGGATATTTTGTTTATGAGAGGTAGATTTTATTAATGTGAAAGATAAAAAACTAACTTAAGAATGTTATGCTGCTTCACAGAATCTATTTAATTTAGATCTCTTGTTTATATGGTGTGGTAAGTCTGTTTAGGGGGTAACAGGAATCAAAATCTGCCTATCCAAATTTACAGGATTGGAAAAATGATACAAATGAGAGAGAAAGGGAGAGGAGTCATTACCATCTAAGATAATTTAGTAAAAGAAAGGAGAAGCAAAAGCCCTTTTCTCTTCTTCACTGGACACCAGCATTTTCAGCAGCAAACACTTCATCACACTGAGTGAAAACAGCAATTGCTTATTTGGGATTCTGAGCAAAGCTATTACTTTATCTGTATACCTGTACATACACTCATATGCTCTCTCATACATACACACATACACATGTATTTATATGTAATAAACTAGGAAAATAAGTATTAGTTTAGCACTAACATGAAAATCTAATTTTCATTCCTTACCTGAACCTGAGAAATTGTCTAAAGACCCGTCTGCTGTTGATGAAGCTATTTCACTGCTGCTCATTGGCTCTGTTTTAACTACAAAAATAAACATACATCATATATCCAATTAACAGTTATTTGTAAAGGCATAGAAGAGCGACATAACATTCAAATCAGTGACAAGAAGCCATTTAAAAAACGATCTCTTCTTATTTGGACATAAATCAGATTAATATTCTTAATAGAATCTCTTTTAAAAAATACTCACATATTAACTTTTTTCTCCCTAGGAAAACAATCTACTACTACAAGTTGCCCCTTAAAAGAAGCACTTTAAACTAAAAGTAATTAAATTCACTGTTACCATAGTTGTGTATACTAAGTTGCTTATTAGCAAACAACCTCTCAAAATATACATCATGTGATGTGAAATAATTTTCTGGTGTTTGTAGAAAAATCTGTTACTTAGCAAAAAAAACTCAAAAGAGCAGAACAAGAGGATGTGAAGAAGTAGGGAACAAGTGTCTGCTCTTAATAAGAGGTTCCCACCATGGCCAAGAACAGGTGCACGCATACATGCACACACAGCACACGTGTGCCACACTTGCACGCTGCACTTCCCCAGTTATCCAGCATGGCTCAAAGACACAGTCCTTAAGTTAACAGGGCATTACGCCAAGCCATATCAGACCACCAGTTAATCAGTATTTCTTGTGCACCTAGTATCCAAAACTGAAGTAGAAATGAATTTTTCCATTTCAAAATAATACCAACAGACAGTTTATGTAATATATATATATATAAAATCTTTGATAAAGTCTGTTTGGGTTGAGAAATAGCTTTTTGATTTATGCTATAAAATTCTCTGAAGCAATCCATTTCCTGAAAAAGTGATAGAATTACTGTGCCCTACCAAGCAGATGAGCCAAACTACATCAGAGCGCTTGCCTTTTTCCTCCCTGGTTTTAGACTTTTTTTTTTTTTAATGACAAGCTAGCATTATTTTCTCTAGAAACTACAAATGAAATACTATTAATGAAATTTGCCTAGTCTACTTTGTGGGAGCTACTTATCTCCTATTACCAGGTTTTCAGAAAGAGTGCAGTAATATTTTAAAGCCAACCTAAAAATTCGTAATGTTTCCTGAAGTGAATGCTCAACAAGAGAACATTCCTGGTGGGGGAGCTTCCCCCACAGAGTAAACACATTTGAAATGGGAGAAAATAAAGGAGAAAACAGCTCTTCCTTCTCACAAAGTCACCAAAACAAACAAGCAAACAAAAAAAACTTTGAAAATTCTTGCAACTCTTGAGCCTCCAGGTATTTTAATAACACATAATGAGTAATTTTCAAAAGAAGCATTATAAAAGGTGTATCAGATAGTCACCTTTAAAAATTATTTAGATGGTTTCAAAATAAGACTGGGGAGAAAACCAGCGAGTCTAATGGAAATCACTCTGCCTGATTATTTTCATGTAGACCACACAACAGTGAAACTGAAGTTGTGACTGGAGTTTTCACTTTTCTGCCAGTTGTTTTGGCTTAGAAGTCTTAGTTGATCCTAATAAATTCTGACATAAGCCTGTGTTTCCCTTCTCTCTCCATGTCACCAGCCACCTATGATCTTGCTCTTTATAACTATGACACTATCATAGCTTTAGGGAAGCTAGCATTCCACTTCAGAAGGTTTCTGTTTCCTACTCAGTTATCTACATCACACCTTATCTTCCCTTAAAAGAACTTAAATAATGTCCTGTACACATAAGACAATAGTTGTATTTCACTCTTTATTTGATAGATGACCACTGAAATGATGAACTCAGAATCAAATATTGCATGCTGAGCAAATGATTAGAATTAGTGCAATGGAAATCAGTTACATTCTTCATGGACATTACAATTAATTCTAGAGAACTCTGTCAGTAGTTCTCAGAAGACCCTCACAAACTCTCTGGTCAGGTAATGTCTTCTTGTTACACATGTGAAAATTGAAACCAGGAGAGTAAGGAAGTTGCCCAAAATCACAGAGTAAGCAACAGAAATGAGATTTAATTTTGTGTGTGTTTTTACTACCTGGTCCATGACCACAACTTGAAAAAATGATAATAAGTATTTTTTTTCCAATAATTTGAGCTAGAGCAAGGCAGCTGAGGCATAGTGCCATATACTATGGATCAAGTGGAAAGCAAAACCTTGCCAGTCCTGGCTCTCTAAGATTTTCAGAGCTGCCAGTCTAGTGATTTGCTGGAAGACACCAAGCGTAAGTTTCAGGCCCAACTGTCAGGAAAAGATGAAGAAGGAATTCCTTGACTGTGTATGATATTCATCCAAATTACGTCCAAGTCTTTGCCAAGTCTACAGTCTATGGTTTTGTAGATTTGACTACACAGTTTGTGAAAGCTTACCCACAAAAAAACCCTCTCCTATTCCTATTCCCCTAAAATCTGCATCTCTGTATGATTAGCTTAATCAAATGCAACTTTCACTCCCAAGAGGCACATCCAATTATACTTGAAATGCATTAAAACTAGGCAAAAAGACCAGAAAGGAAGGGAAGACGATACTTTCCCTTTTAGGTTCCAAGTTCATTGCCTTTTGCCATTGTTCACATATGCCCATCTATACACTAAGGAATAAAGACTCCCCAATGCTTGATTTTTTAAAAGGCTCTCTGTTAAAGAGAAGAGGATGTCCATAAAGTAACTACCAGGATATTCATGATTATATCAGGTACTGTAATTGAATACTTTGATCACCAGGGACTTGATGCTAAAAAGACTAGGGATTTACTGTGATGTAAAATAGCTTCTGAACAAAAGCCAAAAAGAGACTACTTCCGGCTTTGTTGTGGCCAAGTGTATATGCACTGGAGAGTTAAGAGACAAGAATCATCTCTAGCCACCAAAATTTTACCCGTTCCCTCCTCCTAGTATGATCACATTTATCAAAAGGCTACAGATGACATCATGGAGCCCCTCTCCAAGACTTTGAATTAACAAACACCACACACCAAAATTTTTTAGTCTTAGATATTTAAGGTGCTGTAACACCTGAGAACTATCCGTCTAAGCCACCTGTCTGAAGAACAAAACTTGTGACTGATTTGTTCTCCACTAAGTAACTACAGGATTATCTCTGCCATAGTTTTCTTCCATTGCTGACTTCAGTTTATTATTTAAAAAAAAAGTTATTTTTGCTCTCTATTTCCCCATTTCAAGTATGTTTATTTTTCTACCATTTCAAGTTTCCAATCTTCCATATGATCCTTAAGGACCTTCTCAGACTCATTCTTTAAAAAAAAATTTCAGAAATTCCTCTTCATCCCATGAAAATGAGAAACTCATCTTTCATTAGTATAAATTTAAGTGGAGATTTATCATTGCAAGTCACCCCAAAGGAGAGCTCTGTTACTAGAGCTCTGTTACTAGAGCCAGTCTGTGAATCATGAAGAATCTGCTCACAAATGCACAGAGAAAACAACAGCCTAGCTGAGTGGCAGGTCCTCCCCAGCCAGTATCTAAGCTCATCTCAACTTTCCTCAAAAGGTAGTAGTTAGCACAGCTTGTCTTTTTCTAGAAATGCTCATCGGAGTAGCCCATCTTTCTAAACCACAACCGGTTATCCCACTCCAGCTTCATTCGCCTTGCTCACTCTAGAATCCAGAGCCAGTCACATCTAGCTCCCAGTCTATGTGCTGTGCAGTCTCATCTTCCTATGCATCTTTTTTGTTTTAATTCTAATTGTACGATGGCCAATCTCCCACTGTCCATCCTTTGGCTACTTTCTAGTATGGATGAACATGGGAGAGTAGGTCACAATTAGTGTGCTGACTGAGTCCTCTTAAATTGAATTGTCTTTAACTCTTGAGTCATCCTGTTGCTAGACAGTCTCCCTTTCCCATCTGTTGTCAACTGTCTGCAACAGTCTCCCTTGAGTCTTTCCACTTTTCATCAAGCCTGGAACCATACTTTAGCACACGGACTCACCAAATAATTTATAAAGAATGTTGAAGCTACATTTAAGTGTTTCATCTTCCTGCAACATTTCTTATTTTTCCACTGATTAATTTCAGTGCAAGTTTCTTATAATCTCTGCACTCTCACTCTTTTGTGCCTCTTCCAAACCTCCTTTGCAATGGTATTCCATTACATGGTTTCAGAGTATCTTCATTCATCAAGAGGCTACTTCCCTTCTCGTTAATTTTTAAAATATTTTTTGCAATTCTGGGGATTGAACCCAGGGCCTTGAGCATACTAGACAAGCACTCTACCACTTATTTATACCGCCCCCGGGGCCCATCCCCTAATTTGTAAACAGCTGTCTCTCAATCATGATAATTTCTCAATGTGTCATCGCCAAGTTTTCTGGACATTTGCCTTTACATGCTTATCACCTAACCTCTCTTATCTTTTGTATCAATTATTTTACTCAAAGCCTTGTTCCAATTGCCCAGTTCAAACTTTTCTCAGCCCTGACTTTCCTTAATTCTTCAGAAGAATAGGCTTTCCTCCTTGATAGTTTTTTTTTTCATCATTGACTAATACAATGTAACAGTTCTCTTTTCCCTCATGTATCTCTTTTTCTCCAGGTTTTCTTCCTTTACCTACTTTGTGGTCCCATAATTTCACCTTCTCCTTCCCTGTCTGAAATTTCTCTCACAGTAATTTCTTTCCTTGCCATGGTTTTTAAAAACAACCTTCTTACAGATAACTCCTAAATCCCTATCCATAAGTACATCTTTTTTTATGGGGACCAATCATCACATCCCAATTATTCCAACCCCTTTGCAATGTTCTTGCCTGGTCAAACTCAACATACCCAAACCTAAAACCACCATCCTATCTCCATGCTATGCTATTTTTGGGAGGGCAGTACTGGGCATTGAACTCAGCCTCACACTTGCTAGGCAGGCACTATAACACCTGAGCCATGCAAGTCCTTTTCGTGTTGGTTATTTTTGAAATAGGATCTTGCTTTATACCATTTCTGCTTCCTTGAGTACCTTGGGATGGCAGGCATGTGCCACTATGCCCAGGCATTGGTTGAAATAGGGTCTTTCAAACTTTTTGCCCACGTTCACCTTGAACCTTGATCCT